AGGTTGCAACTGGTTGCAACTCCTTGTAAAATTTATTTTAATATAAAAATTCATAAATAGTTGCAACTCAATGAGTTACAACTTAAGTTGCAACTAGTTAAAAATTTTAAAATTAATTACAGCTCCATCTTTAATCTAAGTAACACACTATTATCAGGATTGTCTAAAAAATACATCGAATGATTTATAGTTATATTATCAGTTTTACGTAATAAACTGACATATCATTCACATGTGCATAAAGGAATGCACAATCATTGCGATATTTCCTTCGCATTATGCATAGTTTAGTTATAGAGTATTAACATCAAGTTTCATTTTATTTCAAGGAAGCTTAGCATGATCATGGGGATGAAATCAAAATCAAAATAAAACAAAAACAAATTTAGACTTATCCTTTTAAATTTGAGTTCTATTATTCTGATTTAGTCATATAAACTATAGTCTAAATCAGAAAACTGAATATTTTACGATATAAAATAGATGCAGTATTACTACCGCTATTCTTTTCGCTGGGGACTGTAGATAAAAGATTCATGAGAAGAAGTTGGTGTCAATCTTATAAAAAACTTTTTAAATGCTATAATATTTCTACAGAACTTGATGGATCAGAAGATAATCTACTTTTTGGTTATGAAAATCTATTGGGTTCAGTAAATGATGATGAAGAAATAGAAGATCCTAATGATCAAAGTAGTAATGAAGAATATTTTGAAGAAGATAATTATAAAAATAATTGGGATATTAGAAATGATGCAAATAAAATCGATAATGAAATTGATAATGAAAATTGTATTGAGACATAGTGAGAAAAGGTTGGTATAAAATAAAATAGACTTAATCTATTAATAAATAAAGCAAATGTAGAAGCAGGAGTAGGAGAAGCATAATGAAATAGATTTATTAAGTATAGCAAATGAAAAGAATGTAGATGTAGCAGATTTTTTTTATTTTATTCTAATTAATTGCTTATTTGCTTAAAATTGTATTCTTATATATAATATTATTAAATTTTGTAATTTTCAAAAAAATTCAAATATCAATACTATAAGATATAATTTAGGATGATAATTTATTAATAAAAATAATTTAATACCCGGGTATTATACATTATATGTAACATTTCTAGTATTATATACCCTGGATATTTAATAAATTTTGATGACCGAAATTGAAATTAACTATGTATAGTATCTGGATACTTTAAAATCATGTGAAATTTTTCAGAGGATACTATACATAAAGGGTACTATAGCCTGCAATATACGGTATATTTTTAGAAGTAAATATCTGAGATATTATCACAAACGAGAGACCAGCAGCAAATTCTTTTTTTCCAAAGTCTATCACAACCTTTTCCAATATTAGGCTTTAACTATTATGCACTATAATTGTTTACGATAAGCAAACTGGAATCTGCAAATAAGAGTAAGAGTCTTCTTTCACCTTTTAAGTATGTTTAATCAGTATAATTGAAATGAGTTTTTTCCCATCAGTAGCCAGGATAGCAAGGTCAGAATAGTTATTAAACTCTACTATGATAGCACTAAGAAGAGAAGGTGGGGCTGATTTTCTTTAAAATGATTTTTGAACAATATTCATTAAACCATTAACCAAACTAGCTTCGGCAATAATTTCAAAACTTCATCATTAATGATAATATTTGAATCATAACGATTATTAAATTTTAACTAGTAAAGAGCATGAGATATCACAGATTGATGTATGTTAAAATTTTTAAATGCTTTATCATCAGAAAAGTGATGACGCATAACAAAAACATCAATTGTCAAAGGATAATGAAGCAATCATATAGCAAATTCTAACACATTCTGAGGAAAATTAATCACATGATCACGATATGCGTATTGATCACTATGAAGATAATATATGAAGATGATCAGAAAAATTTGAGCGATCAATATTTCTTCTATTTGGATAAGTTCTTGTAATTCTTCTGACACATTACCAGGATCCATGTTATTTCTTTCTAAGAACTTTTTACCTCATTTTTTTCTGTATAACGTGATGATATTTATCTTGCATAATCTCTATGGATGAAAAACATTTCTTATATATAAGACAGAGATTATTAGCCAACTTATCAACCTTTGAATGAAAATCATGTATGAGTTTTCGGTCAGAAATGATTATTAGTGACATTTAAACAAGCAGCATTTTAGCGATTGATATGATCATTAAGGTGATTCAATCTTATTTGTACATAGTTTTTATTTAGTTGATTCTCACATTGGTTAGCAATTTCAACTGCCTTTTCATATATTTGTTTTCTTTATCACGTTTTTGATGATACTCATATTGGTTAGAAGTCTCATTTTTTTGTTTTTATGTTTTAAAGAGCATTATAGACAAGTTGATTCTTATGTTGGTCAGTAATTTTAGCTATCCTTTTCATATGTTTATTTTCTTTATCATGTTTTTGACAATGCTCATATTGATCAGAAGTCTCATTTTCTTTGTTTTTACATTTTCAAAAGGTATTACGAAGGGTTCAGACATCCATTTTACAAATTTTTATTTTTTGAATATAATTATTAAATATAATCTCAATATATTTTAAATGTTAAAGTCGATTTATTCTTTTATTAATCAAATTGATTTATTATTTTTACTTTGTTATTAAAAAAATGGATGCAAATAACAAATACTGCACATTATTTTAAAAAAAAATTAAGTAAATTTACTTTTACATATTCTGAAGACAAGCAAAATTTAAATATACATTCTATAAAAAAATTTACTTTTATAGATTTCAAAGATTTTAAAAAAAAATTAATTAAGTAAAGTTTATTTTTACAGATTTCAAAAACAAGCTAAATTTTAATATACATCAGATAGTATCAGATGGCATTAGTAAAATTTAATTTTATGGTAAGTAAAATTTAGATCAGAAAACGTGTCAGAATAATAATACATCTTATTGACTAATCATATGTACGGATAGATGGACAGACATAATCTTATATCACATAGAGACCAATTGTAAATGTTCTCAACTATGCTTCAGACAAATAATAGGAAAAATGTATTTGTAATACTTGTTACATGTAACACCCCTTTAAAAAAAATGAAAAAGAGTTATAATACATCAATATATAATAATAAAAACAATAAAATTAAATGTATTTTTACATGTTCTGCAAGATTAATTAAGATAATAAGAGTGGTTTTAAATATTATTTATGATTTATTTGACAAAAACCATTTTTTATTAAGTGATCGGCAATGTAATTTTCTTTTGGAAATTGGTGTAACCTTATACTACCAAAATTTTGATTTTTGATAGGAGCAAAATTTCCTTTTTGGAATTGTGTAATATAAATTGACCAATAAAAATGCAGATAAGATGTGTAATAGACGTTACGATTAAGTTAATCCTTAATAATAATAGTAATAATAATAATAATGAATCTGACAGTCCTAGCTTAGCAGTAAATCGTTAAGCCTTATCATAGTTTATACTGCGATAGACCCTAGTTCAGCCCCTAGCCAAAGCAGATCGCAACAAATTAAGTTTGTGGGATTTACCAGTTCAATTCCGGAAATGAATATCATAGGATGCGTATATACTATGTATGTTAAAGATTACAAATTTGTAGAATATAATGACTCTGAGATATCTATAAGGTGTGATGGTAGCTACCACCAAAAAAGGTGTAAGTTCGCTTCGTCTAGATCCATACCATCCTAATAACAGGTAGGCTGGTCTGTAATAGACAAGTGTCGCATAGTCTGCAAAGTGTACCTGTGAGGGTAGGATCAATGGTAGGTACTATATAACTTGGGTTGAACAATAGTCGTAGGTTATAGGTGGTTGATATTGCATTATCTTCAACTATCGTGGTGCCTATATCACAATTAGGGTTTTATAGCTGGAGTTCGATTCTCTGGATAACTTTGACGTATGGCGAGGCAACTATGGTGTAGGCTATCATCTTAGGTTGTTCTTGACCCTATTTTCAGTAATAGTGATGAATGTACATGATGACAGGTATCATGCGCTCTTTCATACGGGTTAGTGATGTGGCAGTCTATTTGGGTAATTGACAATTATGTACCTAGGCTTCGCATGTTCACACTGGGCTTAAAAATGTCAAAGAGGGTATTATGATTCACCACAAATATGTTGTATAGCTACTTGTGAGCTGTGCGCACTATGTAATTATTATCATGATCCTAGTAAAGCAAAAAAAAAAATAATAATAATAATAATAAAAAAAAAACTCTTTCTTCTTTCTTCCAAAATTTTTGTAAACAAAAATTTTTTAGAAAATAAAAACGTTTCGCTTTAAACACTTCTAATATTTTTCAACTCCTTCAATTAGTTTATTGTTTCTACTTTACAAACAAGTTTTTCAAAAGAGTTTTTACAAGTTTTACAAATAAAAATGGGCAAAAATAACAGACGTACTACCAATCCCAAAAACACTTTTCGTTTTGATCCAAAAAACAAGCAACCAGAAACAGTTGTCTCTTCGTCTAAATCTGCTCCTGACTCCAGTTCCCTTTCCGACAAAGAAATTGTTGCTGATACTTTTAGACCAAAACCCACTCCGTCTTTTAACGTTTTAGACAAGAATGAATATGTTCTCATCGAAGACGACGAGAATATGGAAACAGATGGGCGTAACTTTATCACTATTCTATGAACAACTGCCTTCGCTTGTGCTTCTACTATCACCAAAACAGCGAGAGAACTTACTACCCAGCTTATTATTAAGACCATCAACAACCACTTACCCACAATGACGCGTTCAAAGGCATTAACATTATCACATTAATTTCGTTCGTTTTGCAGTGATCTACTTTACTAATCAGGAGTTGATGATCTTTGCCTCCTTAATGAAATTTCCTGATTTAGGAATTGACCATCTTATCGATTACAAAGAATATAAGAACAGCATGCAGTTTCAGCAACGTAACATACATATTACGAATATTCATCTCAATGTGAAACAGAACTCCCTCACCTCTGTTTTTACTAAATATAGAAAAATCACGAATGTTAAAATGCAAACACGAGACATGTGGCAACATGCTTATATTACTTATAAAGATCTCAACGCCATCCAATTGTTTTACATCCAATGGTCAAGATACCTGTACAATGACTGTGTAAGAATTTACCCAGCTGATTTCACCTCTGAACAGGTGAAATATAGAAATGATATTTGCTTTAAACTGACTAATCTTCCATTTGGAATAACAGCACGTGATCTATAAGATATTATCATCGCCTCTAAAGCAAAAAGTTGCTATATTTCAAGATCCAATAATTACAAACCAAGACCCTTTTGCCATTCTTTATTTCGATTCAGAAGAAGCACTCAATGACACTATTAAAATCAATTATACTTTAGAGATCAAGAGTTACAATGGTACGCAATAGATCTTAAATGCTATCACAAGTGTGGCTTTACTGAGCATATTGTTATAAAATGTTCCTAGATCACATCTCTAGTAAAGGATGATTCTGATGATAATAAGCGCTCTCGCTCTCATCTCCCTTCTGTTCAAAAACTATATAATCATTACAAACCTGTGGATTCTCGTAATTAATCATTAAGAATACTAATAATAGAAATGATCAATATCTGAATGATTATAACAATATGAATTACTCTAAGGCTTTGGATAATGATAAAGGCAAAGAAAAAAATACTGGCCCTAAGGACAATTCATTAGATAACTCAATTCATAACTTCTATTCCAATAATGATACTAATAAAAAATTAGACCAAATTTTGAATATACAGTGAACTCTTGATATAACAAATTCTAGGAT